TCCTCCAGCATAAGACAAAACAGTGGAGTACAGTTTGTTCTAAGACATTAGCAAGGGAGAGCAAAGAACATAATGAATAAATTTTATTGGTAATGCACAAGAAGAATGCAGACTGGTGGCAAATAAGACCATTAGGGGATAAGAGTATAAAATTAGATGGAAAGGAAGAGATGAGATTGGTCTATCGTACTGGTCCTAAATCAACATTTCATCTCAGAAACCACAAAAGTCAGCAACTAAGCAGAGGTGAATGAAAGACAAGGGTCAAAACAACAATTATAATTTATCTGAGTGTCAGAAAAGCATTTTTACACTCAGTACACAATGCACTGATTTACACTTGATAGACAGTACTTACACAAAAAAGGCTTCAGCCCTCACTGAATAGCCTACAGCACAATATAAAATCTTTTCATGATAAACCTAGGGGGAAAAAACAATCCCTTTTTCTTCGAGGCATTTTCACTTAAATATTTGAGTCTACTGGGAACAGACTGAAAGACACATAGCATACTCCCAACTCACATCTAGAGAGGCTTGTGGTTAGATATGCTGATGTTATTTGACAGTATGAGGGGTACTATTAGGAACCTTGTTGGAAAGAAGCACAGTGGAAAGCCTCAGCTGTTGTTTTCCTTTCACTTTGGAGGTGCTTGATGGAAGACCTATGAATTGTTTACTTGCGTAGGAATACTGAGCTTCACCTTCAGGAGCCAAAGGACTGTGTTTGATAGCAAAAGATCTGCTTCCTTTTCTGGTGGTGTTGTTTTTCCTTTTTTACAACAGAATAAAAATGTTATTCCTTTAAGAAAAGACCTTGCTGGCTATTGTTGTTGTTATCTGCTGAGTCATGCCAATCACTGTTTATTTTAGCATTCCTAGAGAATTTTAGAGATAGTTTTCTCCCCATCCCCCAGAAGACGGTTGAGAAATACTGTATAATTTCATAAATAAAAGAAAGCTAAAGAGTTTTTGGTTGAAAGCATTTCCTTTAATGGTCTGCTATGCAACACTTCAGCAGTCGGCTGATTCATGGCAACCTGAAATTGAAAATGACTTGAGGGTGAGGGAAAGCAAGAAGAGGACAGGAAGAATTATACTAGCCAGTATACTTTAACTATCTATATAAAAGTCTGATCCTCATTTTGTTCAACTAACCATGACCTCACAGAATTGGTTTGGGCGTCAGCTCTGTGTCTGGTCCAGAGCAGAAAATGTATTTATAAATTAGATTAACGTAATCAGTGATGAGAACTATATATTCAATTACTTAATTCACTTCTGTTTTGATAATCTTCAATGCTACCAGAAGCACACTGTCAGAGTAATTTTCTTTTAGTCCACCATTTTTGGAAAGGCCTTCACTATTACCAGAAAGAAAGCTCATGCTTTGTTGTTACAGTTCTCTCACTTCTCTTATGTAGGAAACTGTGTTCTCTTTCTATACTAGTTCTATGGCAAATAATCTAAACAAGTGACATTAAGTATCTTTCCTGTATTTTCAAAACCTGAAATCTAGATGCATTAAATAAAAAGAACAATAACCTTCAAAAAAACCCCAAACCACCAGAAAAACACAATTCTACCTGCTCCAGAAACCTTTCTGGCTGTATCCTGCATTATGCTATGTACAGCCATCAAAGAAGGCCAAAGTGATCTTCTATAAGTGCTGCTGTCCTAGGACGCTGACTGTAGTAAGTACTTTTTCCTCTTAAATACAGACTTTTCAAAGAAACAAAGACTCCAGGATGGGAGATTGTTTCAGAGAAGATGGGGGAAACCTCACTTTGAGAGAAAGGATTACTCTGCTTTTGCTTTTTGAAGCTTGTGGATTCCCTGAATGTCTCCAGAACATTAGTCATGCATCCTGCTCATGACTCTGTATCAAGGGTGAGCCATGCTGATGAGATGCAATGGAGTCGGCTGGGTTTACTCAGGAGTAGTCTGCCAAGCCTCTTGCAGAGGCTGATACCAAACAGAAATACATTTTCTTCTAGTTTATGCCTGGCGGGCCATTTCTCTAGCATTCAAAAGCCTTCATTAGGTTGTTTGGAGAGGAGGCAGGCCATACTTCTCAACCTGAGCTGGCCTAGCCTTTGGAAACATTGGAATTCCAGTTCCCAGTTGCAGCTGAGCAGCAGAAAGTGCAAGAGGGAGGGATGCAAAGCGGTTTTGGGGTATTCTGAGCTGCTTGGATCTAGAGGAAGAAGGGCATGAACACAGTCATTGGACACAGATTAGAAGAACCATTACACGGCTCTGCCTCATCAGTTGTTGGGGGCCTCAGGTTATTAGCGTGACACCACCAGCTACGAAGGCTTTCTGCCACATTGATTTTGTCACTGCCAGAAGAAGGGAGAGCAGCAGGAGGGGATGCAGAGGGCATTGACATCCATGCTGTGCCGATGGAGGATCCCGTCAGCGGGAAAGATAACAGCAGAGTCGCACCAAGCGACTTGGACACATTGAATGATTGCGGCTTGAGAACATGCAGCTGCTATGAGAGCATACAGATTTCTCAATGCATAATTCAGTATCATAACATGTACACGACACTAACTCATTCTTCTGCTAGACTACTTTAATTTCTTGAGAATAACCTCACTAAATTGACCTGGAAAGAAAAAGGCACTCAACGTTTATAATTTGATTTCTGCCCTATATAATTTTGGCTTCCCTCCTTCTCATTTAGCTGCTAATATGAGTTTCTGCAGATTTAGTATTTTGTTACAGATTAATTCAATGAGATTTTTGACTAAGCTAGTGTCCAAAATGACTTTGCACTTGGTGACATCTGCGATGCCAGCATGCAAAATGATTCTTCTGGCATTTTTACAAATTCTGTTGTACCACTGAGCACGTCTTGAGAAATCCAGCTACGACCATATCTGATTTGGCTAAGAACACCAAGTAGTATAAGACAAGTAACGATAATAGTTATTTTGCAGGAGTAACAGCTTCTGGCTATTTTCATTCCCTCTCAGGCAGAGGTAGCCCAGGCACACTTTCAATGTTTTGTATATACCTGTCACAGTCAACATTGTTTTAGATTTGACTAATAAGACCAGACAGTTGCATCAGGACAGTCACATTACGATCCTGATGTTTTCTGCTATAGAACAACTGGTCCCTTTGGACAAAATCTTTCTGACTGTATCTACCACTCCTTCCACTGATGTATCTGCTGAAACCCATTACACATACATCTTAGATATATCTATACAGATACATAGATATATCAGATACAGCTCTTAATGTTTCTATTTGGCTGCCTTCAAGAGACTTTGCATTGTCAGAATGGCTTTCTTTTCAAATCTTTTATTTGGAGGATGTTCTGGTGATAGGAAGCCCAGATCTTAGGAACTTCATGATGTCTTAAGAACTGGGGTCCACTGTCAGTCATTAGAGTCCTCAGTATTTGCTGGAAGCGATCAAGGTAATGTTGTTTACCAGATTGAATTGTGTCCCCTTTTTCAGACTGTGTTTACCTTGTGGTCAAAGGTACACAATTTTTAAGACTGCGATGCCGCTTTTCTTCTGATTACTCATCTGCATTTTGTGATTCACCTCAACTGCAACGTTTTCATTGACATCATCTCTAGGCCAGTAAAAACATGTTTTCTTACTAAACTGTTCTTCATTAGCTTCAGTTTCAGAGCCTGTCCTTGTTCCTGAGTTAGTATTTTCTAACAACTGACCATTTTTTTCAATTGATCACCTCATCTCTTACTGCGTTACTAATATGATTAATTGACAGCAAACAACCCTGCCTCAGTACCACACTGATCGAGGAAGAGATTGTGTGCATAGTGTCAAATAACTGAGATTCATGGTAAAAAAAACTTCACTGTGTGAAACCTACATCAGAAATACATAAAGATATGTATTTCTAGAATTCTTTACTTTTTATATCTAAAAGTCTAGACATCTATAAAGAAGATTCATACACATTTATTTCTCATGTACATTTTTAATAACTAGACCCTGGAAAACACTGGTATTCATGGGGGAAAATGAAATCGGAGATGCACAAGCACTAAGATGGCTTAACGGCATTGGAAATCACAAAGACACTTGCTCATCACTTCTTTTAACCGAGACGAAAGAGAAAGAGTATTCCGCTTGGCAGAAAGGAGCCGAACAGGAGCTGGGTTAAAGTTACGCATGAGGTTTGCTGGGTCCGCTGCGGGCACCGAGAACAGAACATAAATCTGCATTTAGGACAAACGTGGGGCTACAGAAAGATGCAGAGCTGAAATAACATTCCTCTGTTCCTGGAAAATGTTTAGGCCATCGGCTTCCGAGGGCACAGAGGGGCGACTGCCCGCAGTGTGTTGTCGCCTGTCAGTGCGTGCCGCGCTCGGGTAGCGGGGCTGCCGGGGCTGCGTGTTCTCTCCGGCAACGCCACCGCTGCACCGACCCCAGCGTTCCCGGGCGGACAGAACCCGGCGAGGCAGCGCAGGGGCCGAGTGGGGAAGGGTCTGCTGATGGACGGGGCTCTTCGCACCCTGGGAGGCGCCGAGCTCCGCTGGCCGGGACGCGGTTCTCCGGCAGCCCATCCCGCCCCTCCGCTCCGAGGCGACTCCCGGGGCCGCCGGGGCAGGGGCCGCCGCGGGCGGGCCGGTGGTTCTCCCGAGGAGCCGGCGCTCCCTCACCTGCGGCCGCCCCGTCCCTCCACCCTCGCCCGCCCCCACGCCGGGGACGCCGAGCCCCATTGAGCCGCCCGGGCACAGCGCGGCGGTGGGCGCGGCCTCCGCCGCCCGCCCCTTCCTCCCGCCCTCCCTCCCTCCCTCCTGCCGCTGCCCCCCCCCGCGCCCACCGCCCGCCGCCGCTCCCGCGGCCCCGCCGGTGTCTCCGGCCGCCCCCGCGCTCCCCCCTCCCGTTCTCCTCCTCCTCCTCCCCTTCCTCCTCCTCCTCTCCCCCCGCCCTTCCCGCGCGGTGGTTTGCTCCTCCCCGCCCCTTTCCCCCACCTCTGCCGTCCCCTCCCACCCCCGGCTCCCCGCGGTGGTCTGGCCCGGCCCGGCGGCGGAGGGAGCGGCGGAGCGGGCGGGCGGGCGGCGCTGCCGGGCGGGTGTCGGCTCTCGCTCTCCGGGGGTCTCGCTCTGCGGGGACGCGGCGAGGAGCGGGGCGGGGCGGGGGACACAGCGCGGCGAGCGAGGCAGCGGGAGCGGCTCCCCGACCGCGGGCAGCACCATGAGGTGAGCGGCCGGCCCCGGAGCGGGCGGCGGGCGGGGAGGGGGGGGGATGTTCCTCGCCCCTCGCCTCGGACCGCGCACAGCCGGGAACGGGAATAGGAATAGGAATGGGAAGGAGGGGGGGGGGCTCGGCTGGCGGCGGGGGAGGGGGCCGGGCCGAGGGGAGCCCCGCGGTGGGGGAAGGGCCCATTGTTAGTGGCGGCGGGGGAAGGGCGGCCCCGCCGTCCCCGTCCCCCCGCGGCGGCGGCGAAGTTGCGGTCGGGGGGCGGCAGCGGGGCCCGGGCCGGGGCGGGGGGGCGGCCCCGCTCCGGCGCCTCCCCCGGGCCGGGCACGCCGTGAGCCCCGGGCGCCTGTCTCCTTTCTTTCTTTCTCTCCCGGTGTTTTTTTTTTTTCCTTCCCCCCTTCCCCTCCGCCTTACCCGGCGCGTGTTGCATTGCAGCAGCAGCTGGGCTTTTCCCTGGGTAATCAATAAAGAGGCGCCGGGGGGCGAGGGGGGAGGGGGGACCCCCCCTCTCGCCAGCCGGGAGAGTGTCGCGTTCGGAGGTTTGGGATGTAAACACAGAGGTGGCCGCGGCCGGGGCCGGGGGGTGGCCGGGAGGGAGGTGGGTGCCTGCCACCTTCCCGCCGGGAACTCCCGCTCCCCGCCGGCTCATTCATTTGAAGGCGATTTTCTGCCTCCCTGGCCCGTCCCCCCCGCCATCCTCCCCCCCCAGCTCTCTTTTAGCGCCTGTTCTGCTTCCATAATCTCCTTTCTGGATTGGTGCAGGACCCGCTGAGAAATGCAGCTCGGTGGCCGAGCGCTGGTCTGGCTGCTCGGGGACGTCGTGCTCCCTGTAGGCCTGTCCCTCGCTGGAACAGCTGGGGAAACGAGTTACTCGAGCCTTCCTTTTTTTTTTTTTTTCCCCCTGGAAGTTATTGTCTGCTTTGCAGTTGGATATGAACCTTCTTTGTCTTAAAGATGACCGTAAGTCGTCAGGTTCTTTAGAGTAGAGGTCCGCAAGATCTCCATGATCAAAGTCGGCAAATTCCTCTGGTGCATAAAACTGATGAGCCATTTGAATTCCTTGTAAATTACAGGAAAATCCTAATCAAATTTTTTGAACCGTAAGGGTTCCCCCTTCAGTGCACCTTCAGTGGAAAGGCTAGCATTGCAGCGGGAAGCATGGGAACAGTCTCCCTGCTGTTTTGTTTAGAATTGTGTTCCTGTATTTCCCTCTAGTTTTCTTTGTTAAATGTAGGTATTTATGTCCTGTGTTATTTTAAGCTTTGCTTTGTCTTGTGATAATTTATTTTCGATTATTCACATTGCTCATGTAGAAGTCAGATACCCTGCAGATGAAAAGTTAAAACTTGGAAAACCTACAGTTCGTACCCAGATCCTTTACACAGAGGTGTTCTTTTTAATTATCTTGACAGCCTTTAGCACAATGAAATGCTGTTAATCGAGCAGGACTTGGCATAAATTTCTTGGGCAGCCCCGTATAAATTTGGGTTTCTTGCTGGCAAAAAGTACTTGAATTGTGCGGGTGATGCTGAGCGAAGTGAGCTATACCAGCAAGACTGCTCGTTCACTGATGTAACTGTATGTGTGCTAGGACTTCTGCCAGCTTGGAGGGAGCACAAGTATTTCTCTTAACCAGCATAACAGGAAAGTGTCTGGGTTGAACCTACCCTTAGGTTGCTTATTTAGAGGTTTGAATAGTTGACTTGAAGCAGTTAGTAAATGTAGGTAAATGAATATATTACAGGTCTGAAACTTTCTACCTGCTCGTGTGTGTATACGTTAAGGTGGTAAGAGGGAAATGTGGTTGCAAGTTGGAGGGTCGCTCTGAGTGGTCATGGGGTATTTCAAAGAAATCTGACTTCAAGAGCGCTCAGTTCTGAGCCTTTGGAAAAAAGAAGCAAGCTGTACCAATTAAACTGCACAGGCTAAGAAAATGATGTGGTTAAAGAAGTATTCTCTCTATAGAGGCACTATTAAATTCACTCAGTTTTGTTTAATTGGTCCGACTCCAGTACAATGGCAAGCTTTCAGTACATGCTCTCTCTTTGGACTTGTTTAGACTACGATTGACGGTATATTTCTGAAACATGTTTAAACAGTATCTTCATGCTGGATTTTGTTCAGGCAATGTCTTTTAAGGTGTATTTGCTGGTCAAGGCAAGTTGCGACGGGGGAGGAGTGACAGGGTAGGTGGGACAAGTGTCCAGTGTTTCATGTGCAGCTCCTCTGTTTGCAGGTGGTGTTAAATCTTAGCAGTTAATACTAAAAACATACTTTTGGCACAATACTGATGGTCTCCTGGAATGCATAAACTGCATTCTGCCATTGCTGTTCGGCAGGTAAGTATGCAGTTGGTGCTCCAGAGAGTAGAAAAAGAAGTAGATGAGCGGGGGTGGGGGGGAAACACTCAGTTTCTGTTCTGTCCTTTGGCACACACATATATATATATATATATTTGTGTGTTCTTGAGCCGTCATGAGCCTTATCTAATTCTGATGATTTTGTGTTAAGGTCTTGCATGTTGTCTGGGTGATTAGCTGGTCAGTTACTGAAAAACAAACTGTTTTTTCCTTATTTCAAATAAAACTAATCATCATTGTGAAGAGCATCTTGGAATTATAAAATAATCAGCAATTCCGTAAGAGGCAAACATCAGCGGTACACAAGAATTAATTCTTGCAGAAGTCTGCTTTGTGTTCAAATTGAAATGATATGCTATTTGAGTAACATCTGTTAGGGGTTTTAGGTTGCTGATAAACTTTGAATATTAAATATCCCAGTTAAATGGTCTCGCCTAAGTATGAAGTTACTTGGATCAGGAGCCAGCTTGAATAGGTCTTGTGTGTCTCTCCCTCTCCCCTGCCTTAGGTAAACAGCTGATTCCTATGAACACCTGTTGCTCTCTTTGTACTGGAGTTAGCTGACCTAAGTACTCCTCCTAATTCAGTTTCCTGAATGCACTTATATTATAATAAGTATCCAGGAATCGGCATATTCAGTGAGGTTTCTGTTCACTAGCTGACTGGAATGTGGTGGGGGGAAAAGGTGGTAAAGATCTAGGTAGCAGAACAATTTGGTGCCCTGGTTCTAGTAATAGCATGACTTCCCATCATATCTGTACAAGAAGAATATGTGTGAACAGACTTTTATTGTAGCATATGCAGAAGCCTGTATTATGGGAGCTGATAAACATAACTCTACTGCTAGGGCTGAGATTCTATGGTGAAGGTTAACTGTATTATCTTAATTTTATTTGGTTTTTTTTTGTATCAAGCACATTTTGAATGTTAACTCCAATAAAAATAAATGAGCTTTCCAAGATACTGACTTTTTAAAAATCAAACTGTACAGCCTTCTCTTGGGATTACTACATCCATTTCTTTGTGTGGGAAAGAATTGTTTTTCATTAGTGTGCTAGTCAGAAAGCAGACTGCTTAGTTAGGTTTCATTACCCAGGTTGCAGGAACTGGGAAAGAAACTGTATTTTCAAGGAATTTTAAATTTTAGTGTTTTCAGAGCCCAGTATAATGCTTTGTTTGTGATGGGCTATTATGTATATCATATATGTGAATTTCATTCCATATTTAGATAAGGCAAACAGCTAAGTTATTATAGATTGTGCCTTTCTAGAAAATCATGTCATATCCTCATATTTTCAAGGTAAAAAGTTAGCTAAATTTGTGATCTCTAAACCATACTAAAATTTCTATTTACTTCCATTCAGCAGCTTTTCTGCTCAGGTACGTTGCTTTAGAAGGTAGTTCATGCTATTATTTGAAAGTCAGCTTATTTGGTGCCTGGATTGGTAAGCCCTCATTATATTTTAAATGTTCTGCTAAGAAAACTAATACCATACTCACTGTTTACTGAGTGAAAGCCCACAGCAGCAGTAACAAAACATGTACCTTCATTAGGACTAGGAATTCTTGAAGGAACCCACACGCGTTTCCTAGGGTTTCCAGGAAGGTGGGTATACAAGAACATTATTAGTGACAGTAGTACAGTTCAGTATACTGCAATAGCTGCACTTATTTAAGGTAGCAAAATACACAGCAGCAAAGCCATTAATTTTGATGGTGACATTAAGTTACTATGTACATTGATATGTAAGGTAAGGCTTTGGAATCGTGCCTTCCCTTTAGTTTTAATAATAGCCTGAATAGTGTATTTGAAGTAGAAAGCTTAATTTAGTTGAGAAATATTTGACAAAATGTTGGAAGTGCAAGCAGGCAGTTAAATTAGGCTGGATACGCATAACTGCAACCAATACAGTTCCTAAAATTGCTTGTATCTCAAGAGAAAAATTGGTGATGTAGGCAGGTTTTTTTCAGGTGGATACAAGAATTCAGGTTACTTTCCTTTTTCTTAAGTAAACTAACAGATGGACTGAGTCATTTGTCTGCGGTCTTTAGCTTGCACTTTATTTGTGACAGTTGCAAGTAATTTTTGGACAGGTTGTTTCTGCCCACCTGATATGGAATCTGACAGCTGTTTTGCCCTCAGGGCCTCTGGATAGTTTAGTGAACTATTTTGATAGTAAAAGTATAAGTCTTTAAAAAATTACCATGTGAATGGAGAGTGCAGGAATCAGAATACAATTTTTTTAGAAGAAGCTATTTATGACCATCTTAGCAATTATGTTGTCAGCCTCTAAAAATTAGAAACAGTCTGGGAGTGCATATAATTCAGGAATGCTCACTGGAAGGGCATGTACAAGTTTTTTCTTGACTCTGATTCAGGGTTTCATGTTTTTTGTTGGAGGTCAGACAACAGGACTGAGTGAGTTGGTGTCCTACTTCAGGCCACTATAGCGTAAAAGCCTTTTTTCTACGCTTCCATAAAAAGGAGAAAAATTTTTCTCCCAGCACCTGTTTCAGCGAATGCTTTGCCCCAAGTGACGTGTCTCGGCGCTGCCTTAGGCATGTGATTGGAAATACTTTGTAATGGGGACTGCTTCTTGCCATGCCAGGGCATTTCATGCGGAACTATGGCAGAAGTA